CGACAGCTGACTCTCAAAACTCGTCTGACATTTCGCGTTATTTCTTACTCAATATGTCGACTGCTACGCTGAACACCCTTTGAACTGAGGCTCTGGATGGGAGTGGCATATTGCCACTCCCATCCACGAATATTTTATGCTCTGCATTGATCTTCTTCAGCGAAGCAATGGAAGTACTATATTTACCTCGAAAATAGAGCAAAGCTTCCTGGTTGCAGCCGTTGCCTGATATTCGAGAGTTTTAGTAGATCGTTTCGACACCTCCGATGCCCCCGATAACGACATGATGAATGCGCAAAAGCGGCGCCGGAGTATCGGGTATCGTTGTCGGAGTCATCGGACCGATCTACTAAAATGCTCCACTGTCGAAATCGCGAAGCTGTAGAAGTCGTCATACATGTAGCCAAAACTAGAATACAAATTGATTTATGTCCAACTTATTATACCGGCATATATTGCCAGATAATCGCAAACCATAGTTGTAACAGTAAGGTGATAATTAAATAATAGATAAGGTTTGCCTCAATATTCTTCTTCCTTTGGTTCTGAACAGGTCGAGCCTCGGATGAGACGTTGGTGAATAACAAAAAAGTTCCAAGTATATAAATTTAAGTAATCGAAAAAAGGACATGTATAACAACAGTTAATTAGAACGTTGGTTAAAACAAGGAAATGTAAACGCACGTTTGTCGTGCTTATCTTTCTTGGTGCCGTTCAAAAACACACAGAGCACGAACCGACCGCAGTTTACTCCGGTGTTCTCCAGATAGACGTCCGCTGATGCCACGTGCACCGAAGGACAGAGTACTAAGTAAGCTGCGCTATGGCCCCACTCATGAATTTCACTCTCCGCTCCAGCCTAGAATATCAAGTCTACGTCAGCCACCATCATGTTTATTTGTAAAGGTATCTGCTTGAGATAGGGTACGTCCTGCTGGGGTAAAAAGAGGAAGAAGAAGTAAGACCAGAAGCAAGACTATTACCATTTTCGAAGTGATCGCAAAAAGCTGACTCACAAAAAGTGTGACTGAGAAGTAGATAACCTGGCTGTAATTCAATTCACAAATAAAGCGGGTAAACCCTAGAAGTTGGACTACAAAAAGGTAAGTAGCTTTTAAAACACGGTCAATGGGGTGAAAGAAACAGAAAAAAAAATACATCTGGATTTCTAAGAGAAGATGATAAGTGTGCAGCAACGAAGGAGGATGCTTGTGGCAATAACACCTTCACATATTATCACATCTCTTTTAGTGGTTTTTAGTGAAGACGGAGCGTTGTCTCGTGTTGTGACATTATAAAAACGGTCGTAGTCACTATAACCGGGAAGGACATTGTTAATTCTTGTCTGTGCACTTACCGCCTCGAGCTTCTCGAAGAGGCACACAATCATTTGGTGTCCTCCTCTCCCTGTCTTCAATCGCAAAGAAAAACAAGGAACTAAAAAAGCGGAGATAGCTTGCTCCCCCCCCCCCCCCCCCCCCGCCCCCCTTAATTTTTGTAAAACTGCCAATTTGGAGTTTTTGACTTTTGTTGGTGTAAAAAAGAATAGATTCAGGGGTTTGGTGTTGCAAAAAAAGGCTTGGCGGAACTGAAGAGTGCCAAGCCTCCCTTTGCGCTGGTCGATTCTCGTTGACAGTGTCACTGCGCTCGACTTTACAAAAAAAAAAAAAAAATTAGAGAAAAGGGGAAGGGGGGGGGGGGGGGGGTTGGTCCCGAAAAAAAAAATGTAACGGATTACAAGGAATTCGTTACGTCAAAAATGTAAGGAAATTACTTTAAAATTACTCTGAAAAATATGTAATTATTTCGTTACTAAATTACCGATAAATGTAAGGGATTACAAGTAATTTCATTACTTGTAACAGATTATGTACAAGTCTGATATCATTAACGTATATAATGTCAGTTGCATATGAAGAAAGCTATACAGGCTATTCTGAAAGGAGACTCAAACGTCTGAGGCCTGTAGTCTCCCACCTGAAGAAAACGAGCGTCTGAAAACGTTATAATGTTTGCTTTTTCTTCTCAAGCCATGCCGTTGTGCAACCACCTTCTTTTTTTGCTTTTGCTTTTTCACCAATAAACGTATTTTCACTCATCCACGTCGCGAGGGCTTGTCTGTGCACGTTTCAATGTTGCAAAACTGATCACAATACTTTTGGGTTTTGTTGTGAAGTCAGGAGGAGGGAGGTCTCGTTGCCCAAATTAGTGACGAAACTGTTATGACGAAACTGACGAAACAGCAAAGTCCATGACCGGAGCCATGGGTTTTACTGGCGACGGTGGATGGACGGAAGAGAAAAAAATTACGTCAAAAAGAGGCGATTAGAAAATTGGTGGAAATTGTCTAGGGAAAATTGAATGACGCACAACTAACTAGCACAGCTGGGGGCAGGCGGGACAGAGGAAAATTGGGACTCCCTCCTGCGAGGTTCCGTCCCAAAGTCTCAAACCTGTCTCCCACTGAGTCTCGTGCGGGGTAACGCCGGCAAAGTTTGACTAGAGGAAAATTGGCGACTCCTTCGCCGGGGCGAAGACGCTCGGGATGATGTTTACAGCCTTTTTTTTTTTTGCCTGATTTCCCAAGGGTCATCTGCTGATATCCCACACAGCCTGGTGATAGTTAGGGGGAGAAAATTGACTTAGAAGGGCGGGAGAAATCATATATGTTTTTTTTGTTTTTTTTAGACTTAGGTTAGGTGGCGCAAGCTACCGCCCGTTACGAAGGGTATAGCCATTCACATCCATTCATCCATTCATCCATCAACCGTCGTCTACGGTTTTTTTTCAAAAAATGTGTAGCATCAACGAGGTCGCCTGTTTACTTCTTTTTTTTTAACAATATTTATACTGATTTTAGATTGTCTTATGTTTTAGCCACCTTGATTTGTTTTTACTTTAACTACGCTTTGTAAACAAAAAGTACTTACTAAGCGCATATGTCTGACTTTTTTTTGTATTTTTTATGCTTGCTAGCCGGATTGGCACTGCAAGCGGGAAACGCAAGCTCGCCCCACTGCGTTGCGAAAACCGTATTCTATAAGCCGGCGACGCCCTCGTTGCGTTTGGGCCACCTAATTTCTTAAGGCCCTGTCATACCGAGGAAACACGACGGCAACAGCCGCACAACACGTTGTCCAACAGTCGGGCAGCTTGTTGCTCGCTCTCCGTGTTGTCGACAGATTTATCACATCGCGGCAACAGCAGCAACACGGACGACAACGAAAATGTTGCGTCGGCATGACAGCTTTCGGCAACAAAAACAGCAGCAACTTGTGTTGGACAACGTGTGCTGCCCCCATCGCTGGCTCAGCGAATTTCGGGCTGACAACACGACAACACAGATAGCTTCGATGGCAGAGCTACTTCCTTATCAATAGCGTCTAACTCAAATAAAGGCTTGGAAAACTTTTTTCAACAATAATTAAGGCCGGTACAGCTAAAATAATTTAATGTGCTTACTGCGTAATTACCGAAAGCGATTGTCAAAATAGTCACATTAGGGTCGTGAACGTTCAGACTGGAGTTGAAATTATAACTGCCGAGAAACCGGCTCAGATTACTGCTAGTGGAATAAAATGGCGTCCGTTTTCACCTGCTGAGAAAGTATAATCAAAATAACCCAGGAAAGCAAAGATTAAAGAATCAAAACAATATAAAAACCACTCTGATCATGATTGTTGATGCTTGGAACTTGGAATCAGCCGCTACCAGACACCAGATTTGTTTTAAAAATATCCAGGTCGTTTTGGGGTATGAAGTGATCACATATTAGGCGGTAGGCACAACGACAGCATCAAAAAATATTTGTTCCACTGATTGTTATGAAGGCCGATCGCGTCGGTGTCGCACTTTTTAAGCATTGTTAGTCAGGTCAACACCACGCTACAAAAGGCGTTTTGGAGTACTGCCGGTGCTAGCTCAATTTTACAGTAGAAATAGGAATTGCATGAAGGAAAGAACCGGACAGAAACACTTCATACGGTGGCGTAAATCCCGAACATATATCAGGGATCTCACTTTCTCGGTTAGGGTTATCTGCTTTGTCCGCGAATGAAGAGCCGTTTTATAAAATAAAGCGTGGAAAATGCACCCCTTGTCAAGCTTTCTAATCAGTCACTGGTGGGTCGGGTGTTTAGACAACAAATCGGCCAACACGGTGGCCGGGCGGCAGCAACATGCTGCCCGACTGTTGTTGCTGACGCGATGTGACATGGTCTCGATTTCCTCGTGTTGCCGGATAAAGTTGTCCAAGAGTTGCCTCAGTGTGACAGGGCGTTTAGGGGCACCAAAGCGTTGGGGTATTCTAATACCCCATTCACACGGTCAACATAAAGGTACCTTTAACATAGGTCCCTTTGCTATCGGCGAATCAGCCCGTGCTCTTAGGTCGCGAGCACAGGCCACGAGCGGAATATCGTTAATTGACTGGCAGCAGAGAATAGAGGTCCCTTAGCAAAGGGTACAATTACCGTCGTGTGAATGGGGTATAAGACCCTCTTAATATTGCCCGGTCCATTTTCGATTGCGGTCGCTGCATACAACAGAGTTTCGCCTGCATCGCGCCATGACTCACTTCCAAGTTGCAATCACGTAACCGTAAAGCCGCGCACACACCGACCGAAGTTGCATCCGGTAAGCGCAACCGCGCCGTTCTTCCAGGTATACCTACACGCGCTGAAGCGAGAAAAAGAAAACGAAAGCAACGTCAAAGCGAGAACAGCGCGCCGCAGGAAGAGGCAGCAACGAGGACAACATTGCGCAACTCCACCACAAGCCTTCGCGTCACCACTTCAAGGCCGCCGCTGACCTGACGCTTGCACGGAACAAAAATCTATCCTCACCCACGTCACCGTTACAACCGGCGCGCTGCCCATGGCATTTCTCACAGCACCGGAATAATAGAGCTTTTTAGTAGAACGCCAAGGTCAGACGCACCCTTCCACAAAAACAACGGAAACCGCCCCAAAATATATGGTGAACAAGACGCGGATACTCACAACATTAAGGATGGCCAACACTTTGGTGCCTGTGCGGACCGTCATGCAGCAGCAGTGCGTGGGGTACGCCATGATTCTCTCCTACTCCAAGCTCTGTGTCGGACACGAACAGCGTAAGATTATTTTTCGCTGCTCTTTGCGGCGGAAAACACACGGACGACCACATCAACCACATCCAGCGACAAATGCGCGGCATTCGGTCGAATATAATGAGAAAGGAGGAGCAAAGCAATAAAAAAATAAAAACGCGAAGGCGCGACTGTGATGCCCGTCCCGTCGGCGGTGGAGGAGGGTGCGCCACCCTTTCCCTCTGACAGCGCTACGGCAACACCATCTAGAGGAGAAGTCCAAAACACGCCTCCTGCGACGTCACGGAAGTAGGCTGACGTGCGCAGCGCTATAGCGCTGAGCTGAAGGCTTAACGCGTAGCTTTAACGCCGTAGGAACGCGGGTTTTCGCACTATTTATTTTTTTCTGAGCTCACATGAGAGATGTGAATTCCAAGTGATTTAAATAACACATTTTAGAACCCAAGATAATGTTATAACCTACCACTATTGTGCTGAAATACAGGACAGTGATATCTTGAGACAGATGTGCTATTTTTTTAAGCGATAAACTGGGTGGTGTAATTGTCTCTGAACGACAAGGAAGTTGTATAAAAAAGAGTCCCTATGAAATAGCAATAACCGAAGTAGTGGGACCGGGTAAAATGAACTACAGGAACAATTGGGTAAATGATGCAGACGCATTCATTTCATTTTATTCACCCCAGAGGCATCCGAAGACGCATTACAAGTGGGGGGATTCAGAAATAAGATACAAACAAGTAATTGAACATAAAAAAATAAACAAGCAAAAATCACACACACACACACACAAATCTATTAGCTTGTTATTGTTATAATGCAGTTTTACACACCAAGGTTCACGGTTACACAAACTTATGCACTTCTTTTTAAAGGAAATGGGATTGCGCTGAGTTACTATATGGCCAGGTAGTTTGATCCAGTTAGTGATGCAAAGTACTGAAGGATAAAAAGGAAAGTGTTAGAACGGCACTGAAATGGTTCAACCTTGCAGGAATGATCTAATCTGGATGATATAAAATTGGCAGGCCGGCAGTAAGTAGATTAAAAATCGGAATTTGAGTAATATACATCTTCGAAAAAAAAACACAATCAGGCTCTTTTCTTTGGCTACTTTCGGCGGCCAGTTGCGGCTCTCAGAAGTATCGCATAGACAGGTTTCCGGGACCAAGCATGCTCGTTCTGCAAGCTGGGTTCATGTATCTTTAAATGCCGGGAGCGGGTAAGCTGACCGAAAAGAATAAAGAAACATGGAGAGCATTTACCTGAACCCCTGCACAAGCTGACCTCGGGGCAGCATTTTCAGAGCGGCTTGCTACGAGAGGACTGCCTGTTCAGGAGCAACTTTACATTCGAGAACGATGCTTTCAGTTTTTGGAGAAACTGGCGAATGAAATACAAGCGCGCATTCCTAACGCGACATCTGCACTCCGGGGGCTTCAAGCAATCAGCCTAAAATTGTAACATGGCTTAATTCTTGACGGGAAATTTTCAGTTTGCCTTCTCACCTTTTCAGCCCCTCTAAGAATAAGCCGGAAGGAGAGTACTGGCTACACTGTAAAAAAAAAACAAATCCCGTCAAATTACTAGCAATTTCCAGTTAATTTTTGATGCCGGTACAATTTCTGTTGCCTTGCATCACGGTCCCAGCATTAACTAGGTATTACGTGCATGACAGTAATGAGGCCCTACGGTTTTCGCCCGTAACTTGACCCGTAGAAGCATGGCAGATTGATTGATTGATTGGGGGTTTATGGCGCATCAGCAACTAAGGCTATATTGCGCCAAGCTTAGACTATTGCAATTCGGGTTTAAAGAGAGGAAAGAGCTATAGTAGCGAAATATATGATAAAACCATGAACATAAATGTGTATAAGTGTAAACAATATGACAATGAATTTAGGAGTAAAATCACAGTCAGTGTACAAGGCCGATATCTGTGAGGAAATTAAAAACACAACTGTATGGAATGAGCGGTTCGTCACCTAGTAGTAGGGCGAGGTGTAGTGGAATGTGTTCTTTATAAAGCAGTGAGAAGTGTTTATACCGGCATTGGTCATACTTAGGGCATTCAATGAGTATGTGCATAATACTTAGAGGTAGGTTACAATGCACACATTCAGGGGCATCCTCCCCGCTCAAGAGGTGTCCATGTGTGAGACGAGTATGACCGATTCGTAACCTACAGAGTATGACTTCATAAAAGCGCTCCAGATGTCGGGCACTCTCCCACTCGCCTAGAAAAGATTTGATTGCGTGTAGTTTGTTGCGGGTTTCGCTGTTCCACTGCAGCTGCCACTTTGCTTTGATACAACGTTTCAGAGAGTTGTGGTAATCTTTGTAGGGTATTTGGTGTGTGTCGATTTCTCGATCATTAGCAGAGCTAGCTGCACAATCAGCTGCTTCATTTCCAGGAATGCCAACATGGCTAGGAACCCAGCATAAGACTATGTCAAGATTTTTCTTAGCAGCCAGGATAATCTTGTGCTTTAACTCAGAAACCAGTGGGTTTTTTACACGGTTCATTGATGCGACAGCCTTCAGAGAGCTTAAAGAGTCCGTGGGTGATTTCAGATAAGATCGACCAAAGGGTGGCTGCTCGACATTTTTAAATCAACTGATGTTTTTATATGACATTGTCTAGTGTCTGGTATAAACGAATCCACACTTAGTTTTGACCAGAAAAAAAATTTGGAGACAAGAAAAATCGTAAGGCAGGGAGAGGTGGACAGTTGCAATAACGCGCACTGATGGAGGCGGCAAGTTTGAAAGTGAATAATTAAAACAATAAAATTAGGAGAATTTTAAAACTTTTTACAAACAAACTATGGGTACAACTTGCTTGTAATATAAAGTAATAATATTTATTAAAAATTTATTTAGTTTTCTAAAAATTGCCAAACATGCCTGCTCGAACGACAAATGGCAAACTTTGGAAATCTGTATCTCATGAAATAATTTAATCATTATTACATAACTTGCAGACATTATTTTACTAATATATGGCTATTATTGAAAAAATAAATAAGGTATCTGAGTGACACAATAGTTACAATATATTTAGGCAAACATGGGAAAAAATCAAACAAAGAAAAATTCCAATGCGAATAAAAAAAAACACCACCTTCGATTTTTTTTAAATTTGGGTACCCTGTTATACTCTATTTCGGCATTCATTTCTATTAAAAACATGTTGCATCATTGCATTGTGAAAGAAGAAACAACTCCCCAAAGTAGGGTCCTTTTTCAAAGCCTACACTTAGCAGTGTCCTATACAAGAAGTGACTCTGAGTTCCAGTTTCATGAAACTTGCACAAATCTTTTATATATATTTATTCAGATGAGGTCATTAATAAAAAGAGCGATCGGTCACACAGTAAAAGGGAGGAGAAACTATATACAGCATTTTACATAAGCGTACAAAGTGGTATCATATTAGAGACTAATGATTTGAGAAAAGATGATGCAGTGTGAAGTTGTACCTTCCGGTATATTTTACATCTAGAGTAAAATAAACAACTTTACTTCCACACACAAAAACAAAGATATAATAGTAAGATATTTAGGTTGGCTGTGTATTTACGATTACAAACAATTTCAGGTGACGGATGCCATAGTGCCTAACTGGAGCAGTTTCGATGCTCTCGGTGTATGAATGAATCGTGGCAAGCCGATATATTTTATCCTGCTCGAGGATAACATTTTGGGATTTTTTTTTATAGTGATCAGATAAAAATTATTAGTAACCACCAACAAAAACAGTAGGTTAAATACCCCGTGAAGAAAAATGTGATAAATAAGATGTCCCTGCATTCAAAATGAGCAGTCCTTGGGAAATTAAATTCGGCACTTTACGCTAAGGTTTTCCTCGCTGTACCCATTTAATAAAGTTGCTTCCAAGCAGATCCGACTGTCCGTGCTACATATACGTCACAGGTCCCTTCTGTTGATGACTTGCTGAGCCGCCACGCGTGCCAAGACTGAATGCCAGGGAAGGCGCGCACCGTCAGCCACTCTTCTTTTTTTTGTTCACGATACCGAACAACCTCATTTTCGTCCAGATATACAAGATGCACGCCTTTCAGTTTCTTTGATAGAACGCTCACCATTGTCCTGGCCGTCTGAATTGCGCTTACTGAACGTTCTCTCAGGCTGTTCAGCCTGGACCGGTACTTCTCGAGTCCGCCAACTCCGTCACATGCATTTTTCCCATGTCCAGATGCAGAAAATAACCACTGGGCTTGTGGGCAATCGTCCTTTGCAAATTGGTGAAGCTGGTAGCGATTCTTGAAATGACTGGCGGCGCCGTCACTTACGTACGTCACGTACGAGTATACCGCAACGTTGTCTTCAACCCACTCCTTCACTTTTTCTAGAGCCAAGCAAGCGTGAGCGGCGTCGTGACACAGGTCCTCACTGATGGTGGCAAAGCTGTTTGTAGATTTTCTTGTCGTCACCACACATGTAAATATCGAAACTTTTTTTTTCCAGTGATATGCTTGCATTTCGTCAGGAAGCACGATGGTCCAGTTTTCAGCAAAGTCAAAATGAAAGACAATGCTCCCCCGTTGCATGCACTGTTTTTCATCGTAGATCGCTTTACCTTGCGTTTGCCGGATATGGTTGTGGAGTACCCAACTTCCAACCGTCACTTGGATGACTTTTAGGAAAGTCTCAGGTTCCAAAGTTTTTTTCACAAGGTCGCCGGACTCCCATGTTGCAAGCACAATCTCTTCATCCTCCGGGATATCAAGTTCCTGGAGTGTAAGAAACTGGCCTTTTGGGCAGTGATCACAGTCTCCTTGAAGGCACAGTTCTGTTGCTGGGTCGCACAGAAATGCCGAGTTCATTTCACCAGTGTTGAATGTTGAGCCTGTAACGTTCTCTAGAGCGGCAATACAAAGATAATAATTGGCGCAGCGCACACAAACGCACACTTCCTGGTATGGAATACATTGGACCCATCTAGGGCGCAACGAATAAAATTTCGTTAGCCCAACGCCGGAATCGGGATGCTTGTCTTTGTATATACGGAAGGCCTCTCGTATTGAGCGTGTCATGAAGCGCTTTGGCACGAACGTTTTCTCTCCGTTGAGCATGACAGAGATGACGTCCTTCTGGTTGGGACTTTGGAGCGAACATTGTAGCTCGTCTTTCGTGAAGTACTCTA